CACCAATTTAGTGCTACTTGGTCCCAATGGAATTTCCCATTGGGAACCTGCTAGCACTAAGTTGCTAACCTAACTGGTTAGCAAGATGCTTCAGACAAACTGGCCACAACCAAACTTGCTAGCGAACGTTCCGCCACAACAATCCCACCCTCTTGATAAACGGCCAACCACATGCACTTTATTTAATGTTGAAAAGTTGGGCACCACTCAAGAAATCGGAACTAAAACGGTTGGAACAGCAGCTGTTATAGCCGATATTAGTAACATGCCAGGTTATCGAACCTGGGATGTTATGCGTTTGAGGGAAACGTGATGACCACTACAGGAACTACTCATTTAAATGTTGCTACTTTTTACTCCTTTCTTCTTTTAGCAGCCATAATAAAACTGAGGGAAACTTAGGAATGCAGAGAGAAACAGACCAGTAGGGGCAACGTTTGGTCTATTTGTACTCGTACTGTCGTCTTCCGTGTGTCTGGGACCCGGTCAATGGTGCAGCGTTAAGCAGAGACTTACAGCCGAGGAAACGAAGTCCCTCCAGTGTGTTCTGGGCCATCCTTTGGGCCTCCTCCAGGTAGGACATTCAACAAGCACCTGGTGGTCGGGTTCCTTCTCACTCACCTTCTAATTCCTGAGAGATTTCAGCTGCTGTCTTTGCTTTCCAGGCCTTTCTGCTCCTCTCTTTCTCCCTGTGCTGGTCTCAATCACCAGAGCTGGGAGTGAGGAAGGAGGGAGGAAAAGGAAGCAGGATGCTTCCTATCCTAGTTCTGTTAGCATAGGGACCTTCTGACATTCCTGTTCCCCATTTAGGAGCGCTATGTTTTCCCACAATCCTTTGCTAACAGAGCAACTGATATAGCCGCCCTTAGAGTTGAGCATCTATCCATGATTGCTAAAGCAATGCACATGGGGCGTCACTGTGTTGCCATAGCAACAACTGGACTATTATTTACGATACATCTTTGCTTTTCTGACTCACCTGCAGAGGTGTCAATTAACAAAGTACAAATACTTTGTTACTGTACTTAAGTACACTTTTTAGGTATCTATACTTTACTACATTAATTATTTTCTTCCTACTCATTACATTTTCACACAGTATCTGTACTTTCTATTCCTTACATTTTTAAAACAAACGTTACTCGTTTCTCATCTCTGATGGAGATGATAAATCTGCTTCCTGGTCTCTTGAAGCACCAATAGTTTGCATCCAATCTTGTAAATAAACGCTGTTAGTTTTTTGAAATATAGAAGAATCATGCTGTAATTTGTAGTTATTATTACTGATCTGTTGTTACTATATTTTACTTTGACAAACCAGATCTTCTCGCCGTTCTTGTTCCTTCTCCACCCACATCTAGTGAAAACTAGTGTGATTGGATGAGTCATAGAACGCAAACACTCATTAGTTAGCTGAAGGAAATCATCAGAAACCAGCAGGTGTTCTTCAAACTGCTAACATGAATTGTCTATGCCATGCTACAATGTGATATTCAGAAAAAGATGCTGAAATGTCTGAAAGGTCGGACACAGGCGAGAGCGTATCAGGAGAAGGAGACCAACCAGACCTCCCTCATCCTTGGCCCTATCTCAGAGAATTATAGAAATAGCCCAAAAATTGAGCTTTCAGTTCATATAGTGGCATCTGGCTGTTTTCATTAAAGGTTACTTTATACTTTTATACTTTCAGTAGTTTTTGGAGCGCATACTTTTTCACTTTTACTTGAGTAAAGAGGTCAGTTTGATACTTCAACTTTTACCAGAGTGTTTTTAAACTGCAGGATCTATACTTCTACTTAAGTAACAAATGTGGGAACTTTTGACACCACTGCTCACCTGCTGCTGCGTTCAGGTGCAGTTGGACATCTGGCCTCCGTTTTGGATACAGACTTGAAGAAAACTGAAAGAAATGTGAATAGATAAGCTATTTTTATCTGAAACTGAGGTTTTAACCGGTAACCTTGGAGACCGTGACCTCAGGAAGCATGTCTCTTCCATCCTAACTACGCTAAGCTACACTACGGCTAACTCTTCTTTTCAAACCTTGTGATCATTGATGTCTTTCCTGTTCAGCCAGCTGGGAGATGAACCTGCGCTTTAAAACTGTCCTTTCTGATGTAAGATTTCTAACGAGTCCTTAGAGCTTCATCACAGATTAAATACAAAAATCAGAGGAAATCCTTAAATCTGATTAATCCTTCAACGGTCTGCATCCATCCCCTGCTGCTGTTCCAGCTGCCTGCAGGGGGCGGTAATGAGCCAACATCAAATCACTGAGACCAGAGGCAGAGCTTCATTCTAAATTTATTGTTGCATCGTCCAGAAAACAGCAGATAGAAATGTGAAAACATCTGTAAACACCAGATCAAAGTTACATTCTTACATTCAGCCGTGCAGAAAAAAGGAGGAAAAACAGCAAAAATAGCAGAACCCTGAAGGTTTCATCACCAGCATAGAGAACAGGAGATCAGAGACACAGAGCAACATGTTGCATCATGCATCAAGGAAGAAGAATCATCATCAGGAGGAGCTGCCATGTTTCCCAGTCTGACTGAGGAGAGCAGCC